TATGTTAGAATTTACCTTCACCTACACCACTATCACCTCACCTACTCCACTAAACCTAACCCACTACACCACTACCACCTCCACTTCACCTACTCCTTACCTACTACACACTCACCCTCTTCTATATATAGGAATCATGAATCATTGTAATATAGATATATATATCAATCAATAATACAATTCTCTATTTCTCTTTATAGATTAAATTTTCTACATGGTATCAGAGCAAGGTTAAGCACTTAGTATTTTTCGCTTCACCGGCGGGCGGCAACCTCGCCTTGGCCGCCCGCCGGACCTCAACCTAATCTGCTAGAATTTTCTATACATACCTTGAAATTTCTTCGAGTCCACCACCACTGCCTCTCCTCTCACTGTTGTCCTCCCATACACCACCGTCTCGGTCGTCTTCATCTACAATGTTGCAGTGAAGGATCTCAAGCGTGGTTTTGTTGCATCCAACTCAAAGGATGATCCAGCCAAGGAAGCTGCAAATTTCACCTCCCAGGTTATTATTATGAATCACCCGGGTTAGATTGGTAATGGGTATGCTCCAGTTCTTGACTGCCACACCTCCCACATTGCTGTCAAGTTTGCTGAGATTTATCGTCGATCTGGCAAGGAGATTGAGAAGGAGCCCAAGTTCTTCCGTGAACATGCTCTCCTTCCTTTTACTCTTGGAGTGAGGCAGATGATTTGCTGCTGTAACAAGATGGATGCTACCACTTCTAAGTACTCAAAAGCAAGGTATGATGAAATTGTGTAGGAAGTCTCTTCCTATCTGAAGACGGTTGGTTACAACCCTGACAAAATTCCTTTTGTCCCCATCTCTGGTTTTGAGGGTGACAACATGATTGAGAGGTCCACCAACCTCGATATGATTACACAGCCCAAGAGGCCATCAGACAAGCCTCCTCTTCTCCACATTCTTGATAACACCAACAGCAACAGTTTGACGCATTTATTAGAGAAAAGGTCCAAAGGCAGCTCCTGTCAAAGCTGATGCTCAGCAGGCTGTACCACCTATTATGTCATTGCATTGGCATCATTAAACCCAATGCCTTGTGTTGCTTCATTCCCATTCATTCTCATTAATTAACCTTGTTATGTAATCAGTGATAGCATATTTTCTGTCTATTCCATTTATGTAAGAACTTTTTGACGGACACAAGAATATTTGGTGGTGTATGGCACTTGTCTTTAACAATCAAGTGTATGCTATTTCTGAAGGTTGCTGTAGAAACTGACAAAGTGACGATTAATGGATCTGTCTCTTTTTAGCATAGATTCTACTTGGAAGCTGCAAGAAGTTAGATTCGTGGACTCCATGTGAAAAAAATATAACTATTGCATCTGTTCTATTTTTAGGTTTTGGATGCATTAGGTGAGTCAATTCCTTGTGCCACTTATGACTCTTGGATGGTTTACTTACCTGAAGGTGACTTCTTATCACGCATTGGACCAACTGAATTTTTTAAGGTGGACACTCAATATCCACTTCTGGTATCATGTTAGATTGATTCTATTTCTTAATTTCATGGGTCATCGTCCTAGGTTTTTGCAACCCTTCTGATTGATGATTGAAACAAGTAAAATTTATTTTGTAGAAGCATTATGCTTTAAGTAATGTTTTTCCAAAAGGCACATGAAACATTTTTTTATTTTCTAGCCATTAAAATCATGCGTATTTGACTTGCTTCTTTAGATAATTAAAGAAAAACTAAACCAAAGGAATATATATATTTTTTGTTAAAGTTGCTACTGGGCGTTTTTGGTTTGATAAGAAATGAAAAAAATTTCAATCTCACCATTATGAAAATTACTAAATTAGGTGAGCAGAGTATAGATAAAAGAACAGGGGCCGATTGAAAATTTCACATGGGGACCTATTTGACTCTTGCAATTATTTTTTGGTTTAATTTGAGTCTTGTTTTTAGGTTTCTATGGGTTAGTTGGCTGTTGGTTTAAAATCAGTTCTAGCTTAATTAGGTATCATGAGTTTGAGTCTGTAGTCTTTAAATTTTCTGGATATGGCCTTTGTTTTGATCTATTGGTCATAATATACGTTTAGCTATATTTTTGGGAATTATATTTGGCCAACGTTAGGTTTTGAATATTAATATATTATAAGTAGTCAAAATTTAGTTGAGGTAGTAGACTTATGGCAGCCCATAAAAATCCTTATAATCTTTCCATTTGAAAGAGTTGAGTTGTGAGTGTTTGAGGTTTTGTTTTTTTTATTTTGGTTAAACTTTGCTAACTTTAAGCTCCTCTCTTCTTCTGCTTCTTTTTCTTCACAATGCAGCCAAGGTACCCTGCGTGAATCACCATTCATACCTAATTTCCATGCACACCGTACGGAGGGTAAAGAAAGAGTCTACAATTTTGGTTTTTCTATAACTTTTATGAAACCTAAAACACTAGGATAAAAAAACTTTATGATAGGAGATTTCAACAATCAATTTTCTTATGGATCTTATAAACTAAAAAAATACTTGAACATCCAGATTAGCAGACACAATCACTTGCATATATGTAGCTGCGTCACCTTCATGACTGAGATGAACTTTTTGAAACAAGAAATCACTTATAGCCCTGTTATTGTGTTCTCTTAATTCTGGAAAATTGCTTAATGACTTCTAATCATTCTTCAGGACCTTGAGAAGTATGCAAGTCTTGATGCTGCGCGAGAATGGAGAAAACTTCTTGTAAGTATTGTGTATATATGTATATATATTGTATTCCCCATCAGGCTTCTTTTTTTTTTTCCTTTTTCTTAAATATAGAAAGACTATTTTTTTAATAAAGTAGAAAAGGAAAATCTTTGCTATCATTTTCTTTTCAAAATTGAGAATGAGCCAAAAATTTTACGTCCCTTGTATTTGAGGTTGTCCAATATATCAAGCTAAAACCTCAAGGCCGAAACACAAAAAATTGATTAACAGATTGCCCAATATCCTGGATAGGTGATTTTGCAGAAGTTGCCTTCATGATTCCCTATTATTGCTCTTATCAAGAATATAAAATGCATTTCTGTACAGGATGCAATACTACCAATGTCTGCAGCTGCGATGGCTCTGCCACCTTTATCTATTCGAGGTGATTGGGGTGTTCTATCCACTGCTGCAACTAGATATGCCCCCTCTCTCTTGAAATCCTTTGCCCAAATGGGACCTCAGGGGGCCCTTGGTGCTATGAAGCTTCTCAGACCCTTCTCAGAAATAGTTGACTCATTGGAGCTGAAAGAACCTTTTATACGAAATTGGATAGATCTTCTGGCTTTCTTGCTCGCAGGGGTGAAATCTAATGGTATACTGTCTGCAGAGATGGTAACTATTACATATCAAGGTTTTTTCTTGATTTTGGTTGAACTGTGGTATGATTATGAAATATAAATATGCTTGTGTTGCTTATTTTATTGATAACATAATAATTTTGTGCTTCAATGTTTTCAGGTATACATGTTTGCAGAATGGTACAAGCCAGGTTGCAGTCTGGAGTATCCCATTCATGGAACTGGGGCAGTTGTTGATGCTCTTGTTCGTGGACTACAGAAATTTGGTGGACGGATCTCTTTGAAGAGTCATGTGGAAAATATTGTTGTTGAAAATGGTCAAGCTGTGGGAGTAAAGCTAAGAAGTGGTCAAGTGAGTAAATGATTTAAGTGACAAAAATACAGAATTTCTCATTCAGATTGAATTATATTTCTTTCTTATTATTAATTGATAAAAATAAATATTTGCTGCAGTTTGTACGCGCTAAGAAGGCTGTTGTTAGTAATGCCTCTATGTGGGACACATTGGATCTATTACCTAAGGAAGTCATTCCAAAGTCATACCAGGACAGGATCAAAACGACCCCTCAATGTGAATCATTTATGCATCTTCATTTGGGTTTTGATGCAGAGGTGAGTGATTGTAACAACCAGCCTTGCTTATGATTATTAGAGGGGGGAAAAAAAAGAGGCTTTTTGTTCACTAAGTGAGGTGCTTCTTTACAAAATCCATTATGAATTCTAGATCCGAGGAGGATGTTCCACATCCATGACAGATTTATTTTGTACATATTCTCATGTCAGCAAATTTTTTTTTTTTTTTCCCCCAACTGTTCAATATCAGATGCAAAAGTTCTGTTTGGCCATTGCACTGTTTGTGGGTTAGTTTCTGTTATGTAGGCCATCAAGTGTTATTTCACTAACTTGGAAAATATTTTTCATTTCCATGTTCAACATGAACCATGTTGATCTCTATTCAGTGGACAAGTGGTTAAACTTGAGTATTTAGGGGAGATGATTGTCTAACATAGCATCAAAGCATTGGTTTTGGTAGGACTTGGGTTCAAGTCTTTGTGTGTTTATTTTTTCCACCATTATGCTTTTCGCTTAGCATCTGTTATATTTTTACTGTTTGCACCTTGTTTGTATGTTAGTACATTTGCAACCTATTTGGTTCATCTGTTTGTTGACATATGAGAAGGGGGTCTCGTGTGAGGGAGGGTACAATGGCTTGATATGTGTTGTTTGGCCCAAATCCTAAATAGCTTTAACTTTGTTGGATAGCTTTGATCCTATTAGGTCTCGGGTTCAATTCTTTCCAGATAATCTAATACCTTATAGGATCAAAGCTTTGATATCATGTTAGACAAATCTAAGTCCTATTATCCTTTGGGTTCAACTTTCTCACTGTACTTTCTTGGGGAAGGATGTGAGAGATCAAGCATTTTACTGTCACTGGGTCGTCTAACATAAACCATCTTGACCAAAATTATCTGATCTTATTGTTGTTGTGTTGTTGCTTCTGCTGTCATCAATTTCTCATGAATCACGTGCTTGTGATATATTTTTCTATTGCCTCTATCCTTTTCCTGTGCAATATCCTAATTTCCATGTCTGCTCATTTCATGGGCTTCTTGGGTTTGGTTTGCTCTACATTTGTAGTCAACAGAAGGTTTCCAGTAAGCTATGATTGCTTTTGATACATTAAATTTTCTACACTCATGAATCACGTGCTTGTGATATATTTTTCTATTGCCTCTATCCTTTTCCTGTGCAATATCCTAATTTCCATGTCTGCTCATTTCATGGGCTTCTTGGGTTTGGTTTGCTCTACATTTGTAGTCAACAGAAGGTTTCCAGTAAGCTATGATTGCTTTTGCTATCAACTTTGCCAATTTATTATATATATGATATGATTTGTTCAATTTTCACAATTCATGTTGAAAGCTGATAATCCAGTGCACTATTTCACACCTAACGGTTGCATATCATCATATATCCCAAAGAATCGCTATTCCTTTTAGTTGTTGAATCACTGTTTGATTGATCAGTGTGTGATGTCCTAAATCCTCATAACTAATGGAATCCAAATGATCCCTGGATTGATCAGAAGATCCTTTCAATTGGCTAGAAGCCGTTACTTGAATGAAGCTAGATTTTCTGGAATTATTTGAATATTTGACGATACATTCTGTACCTTGCTAAACAACCGATCCTTGTTTACCAACTGCAGATTGCAGTAAAAAGTTTCCCACGTGTGAATGTGAGGGCTTGGGTGAGGCTTGCTAAAAATGCATCATCTATTGGTGATAATGCACAATATACTTAAGTCAATCTTAACTCTTTAAAGAGAGATTTTTTTTTTTTTTTTTCTAATATTGCTGAGACAAGTTGAAAAATAGTAGAATTGAATCACCATTTGGAGAAACTGAAATCTCAAAGTGGTAACTCTAAGAAATTACTGTTACATAAACAAATTAAATAGATTATTGCCTATTCTGTGGGATATGCTACATAATGTTAGCTTTGTGCTCTCTTCAATCGTTGACATCTGTGGCATGACGACTTTTTCTCAATGTTGGTAATCTTTTAACCAGGCTTCATCTGCCACTGCTTTGGATGGTGTTTTCCTAAATCTGAATAAATACATCTAACATATGTTTTATTTATTAGGGTATAAGCGAGGACTTGAAGATTCATCATATAGTTGTGAATGATTGTGACAGAGGAGTCAATGCTAATCAAAATGTTGTTTTGATATCTATACCCAGTGTGCTTTTTTGCTGATTAGGTTTTTTTTTTTGCATCTTAAAGCTTGATTTGTTCAATTAGACCCAATGTTTTCTAGTTAATTGTCAAGTTTAAGAACAATATATATGGTATGCATAAATTTTGGCATTGGAGGTTGTGAGCTAGAGCAATGACAAGTGTTATCTGCTCCGTGTGCTATGGCATGGGGTTGAGTCACGTGAATCAGCCTCTCCACAAAAATGTGGAGGGAAAGCTGCCTACTTACTATCTCTCCCCAACCCTATTGTAAGTGGGAGCCTTGTGCATTGTGTACAACCTTCATAAGTTTTGGCATTCTTTTGATTTTTACCTATGGTGGAACTTCTTAAGAAAGTCTCAAGGTGTACATAATTTTTCCAATAATTGAAGCAACTTGATTTTACCATGTATGATGTGACAATATTTGAAGCATCATGTCTTTTAGTTTCTCTAAAAAAATTGTCAAAATTGCATATAATTTTGGAGTCAGAAGTTCATATTTCTGTGTATTCTTGGAATGTTGTCAACTTAATTTTTGAGTTTCCTATTAGCTACCTTGCTAATATCCCTGATTGTTCTCCTTTATTCTTTGAAATTCTCAAATGCTCATGTGCCATCAGATTATTTTCGAATAATAGTGTATGAAAAAGATAATTATTTTTCCTATTAAAGCAGTTCTTATTATTCCTTACCAATCCAGGTCTTGTGGAGGGCCGTGGAGCGTGCTGTTGGTCCAGGTTTTGATCACGAGAAGTGTGAAGTGAAGTTGGTTGGAACTTATGGGCCAGCTATACAAGCCAGTAAAGGCACTTTTCCCGGACATTCAACTCCGATCCCACAGCTTTACTGCTGCGGTGATTCTACATTCCCTGGTATCAGAGTCCCAACAGTCGCTGCTAGTGGCGCCACATTGGTTTCTGTGTCTCAACACTTGGAGCTTCTTGACGCTGTAGGAATATGATAAAAGCTGGTGAGTTCTGTTTAATGTTTATCTTGAATTTTTCCTCATTTTGTTGTATGTTTATTAATATTGTATATAATGTTTTTGAGAAACAAGTATTTTTGTCGTGCTATAAAATTTAAATAATACACGTTTTTTTTTTGCACATGCTAAAATTAAAATGAACCTCACTGAAATTGGTTGAATAAGAATCTTGGAATCTAATTTAATCAGATTTTTACCCACCTTTTGAATTGGAAGCAAAAATAAAAATTACTCAAATGTTTTATGATGCATTTTTTTAATAATTGGTAGGAGAGAAATAAGGGAAGGGGAAGCTGCATTTGCAGCAGTGAGACTTGAATTTCTCCCCCGGTGTGGGTAGGGGAGGAGGTTTTTAGTTACACACATAGAAAGATCAAAGTAGCTATCAGATAGAAAATACTGGTTTTAAGTTGTTAACATACCAATATTGTTATGATGATGATTACATTTACCTTCACTGCCTTGGTAACATTTGTGAGTGGTGGAGCCTATTAAACCATTGAAATGGTAACACATAAGATGATGCTTGGATATTTTTTACCATAAATTAGAAGCACAAACAGACTGGGAGTTATATAAATTTAGACCTGCTGAAGTCACTATTTTTTGAAGCCTTGCATAAGACTAAGGTCAAGTAAAAACTTATTGGAAATTTTTTGGATTGAAATTATAAATTATGTTTTGAACATTTAGTTTTTGAAACTAGAGAGTAAGTCCATTCATCCTTTGTTACATATTGGTTGTGGGGGGATTAATGCACGGGATTGGATTATATATCTTGCTTGATCTTGAATTTCACATTTATATATTAAAGTGAACCTCTAGATTGACAGTCCCTTTTGGACTGCATATCCTCCATATGGGCGACTATTGAGTCTTATAGGAGGGGATGAGATACCCAATGGAAGGATTAAGGGGGTCCAGATTAGCTGGTTGAAAGAATAAAACATTCTCAAATTATAGTTTTTTTGAGCAACAAAAAAACAATTTTATTGAAACAAAGATGGTAATAAAGGGGGGACAAGAAATCTTCCTACAAAGTCAGAAAATACAAAGCTAAAGACCAAAGAAACAAAAACTAAAACACATCACAACCGGCACTAAGCATGACAAACAGCAGCCCAATCCCTAGAGACCATTTCTAACAAACATGAGATAGGATGGAATTTCAAGACTTATTAGTTTCGGTAATCTTGTCCAACGAAGAAGCATAGTAAATTTTCACAAACTAGTCTTGAATGCTAACCCAGAACCACCCAACTTTTCTTCAATGACCTTGTTCAAGCGTTCCACCATCTCAGGTGTAAAATGATTGATCCAATCACCCACTTCACCTCTCCTAAAGAACGTCTTATTCTCGAAGTGTCTAATGGATTTACCAGTTTTGTTCACCTCCAACTCTCTCATATTGTTAAAGTTGCACAACCTTGATATGTCTTCTATCACAACTTCACTCTCTTCCTCTAAAGAGAATGGAATGCTCATAAACTCTGCTAGCCTCTTCATCTGAAAAATAATATCTTCTTTCAAGTCCTCGTACATCAAAAACAGCACCTTTTGAGGCCTCTTCAGGCTCTCCTTCCAGTACCCCAATACATTGTCCCAGAAGGGCCCAAAACCGATGACACCCCTACAATACATGTCAAAAGCATCATTACACGATAGAGGCTCAATACTCTCTGGTCTAGGCTTAGAGAAGAAGTGCCAGGCGGAGACAAAGGAGTCGTAGGGATTGCGACAGAGATAAACAATGCGACAATTAGAGGTCTTGATTGAGTCAGGTAATGAATGGTATGGCATATGGGTGGAAAAAATGCTAGATTGAAAGTTGGAGAGGCTTAGAATAGTACTGTCTCGATGGCCATCTTTATTAGTGGAGAGATTGATCTCGTGAAAAGGGACAAGGTCGTGAGGGTTGGAAGTGAGAAGGGGGTGTTGGGAAAGTGTAGCGATGACGGTTGGCGATAGCGAATGTCAATGCCTTCAACCAGGTAGCGCCTGATTTGGGCATGGTGGCGAGTATGAGGTCGGTGTCCTGGGCTTTGAAGTGTTGTTGGAAAGACATTACGCCTTGAATATGCATTGAGGAGCACCAAAAGCCTTGGTAGAGATTGAGATCCAGACCTGTCCATCCCTTCTCTTTGGGAAGCAATGCTAGTGGATTGCCATGGCAATCTGCTTCTTTGTCTCTGATGATTGGATTGCTTTCCCTTCCTCGAGTGTTTTCCATGGAAGGTGGGGAGGGTGTGTTGCTATGGTAGGTAATCCACAAATTCAGTATTCTTGATCTTGATAATGGTTTTGAAAGTCTGCATAACCCAATGTTATCCATACACTATTATAGTGTTTGTGGCTTTCTTTTTTCCTTTTCCTTTTTGCTCGACTTTTGTTTTGTGTTTGTCCCTTTTTTTTTTACAATTTTTTTCTTGGACTATTTTATAATTTTAATATTTTGTTTATAATTCTTGTCTCTTTTTGATAACACTTATAAATCAATTATTTAGTAAAAAAATTCACTAATTGTGTTTGATTGCAAGTTTAGTATAATTTATTGCATTTTTTCAACTAATTTGATAAATAAAAAAATGAGAAATATTTATAAGTTGTAAAAAATAATTTTTGAAACTTATCTAAGGCTCTTAACACATATGGACAAAATAACTCTATTTCTTGTCTTGGTTATAATTTTTGAGTGGATGTTAGATATTTGCACATACGTCTCTTTCTCTTTCTTTTTCTTTTTCTTTTTTTTCAATAAAAAAAACAGAATATAAAAAGCTATATCAAATAAATTTACAACTTAGATTAATTCTGTCAAACTAATAATCTAAAATGTTATAATCATAAGTTTTTTTATTTTTTTATATCAACAATCATCAAAACTCAATTACAGGTAATATCATATTGAATCATTATTTATCAATACTCTATTCATAATAAATATGAATAGGGATCCATTAAATCACTAAAACTGTGACACATGAAATGATAATAAAGTATTGTACATAAATTTGCCATATTAACAATTATTGTTATTCAATGATGACAAATGATATTCAAATATTTTTTTTTGAGCTGGTTTTACAAATATTTTTGGTAAAGTTTTAAATTTTTACTTTTTATGATATGGTTATTATTGCTAGAAAAAAAACTATATGTATCTGACAAATGATAAGTTTTTTAGAACAACAGTGATTGGTATCACTAATTTTGCACCACTAAACCAGCTCTAATAAGTTAGAAAATTAAAAAAAAAAAAAAAAAAAACAACGAGCAAAACATTTTGTCACGTGGGATCCATACCAATATTAGAGCTATTAGTGGTTCTCTTTTAGTGGTCTCAACCATTTTTTTTTCCCAAAAATGCTTTGGAGCTCTAAAAAGAGAGCTCTAGGTATAGCTCTATTGGGTGGGATCCACCTATGATGTGATATTTATGTTTGTTTTTCTGTTTGTTTGCTTTTTTCTTTTTTTTTTACCCTGCCAATTGTGTAGAGCTGGGTTTAGAGCTTAACAATTAGAGCTCTGTATCACAGTGGTAAATTTTTTTATGAAAAATGTTTGGAGGCCCTAATTCTGTGGCTCAAATGTGACTCAAATGGCCAAAACGACGTCGTTTTGGCCATTTTGATGTTGTTTTGTACTCAAAACGACGTCGTTTTGACCATTTGAGCCACATTTGAGCCACATAATTTGGGCCCTCTACCATTGCTCTTTTTTTATTTTTTGGTAAACTTTGAGTGAGTGTTGGATAGGACAATAACAAATGTTACTTAAGCAAATAACAATTTTATGATAGTAGTTAGATAATAAAAATGTCAAATATTGTTACCTAGGCTCTCACCTAAAAACTAATATATTTGTTGAAGATACTCTTATGCCATTTCAAATTATTTTCTTTTTTTTATTCAATTAATAGTAAAAAATAATTAAATATTTTTATTGCATCCTAATCAAACATAATGCAATAATATCCAATTCTTATTTAAGAGTAACGATATACCAAAAAAAAATTGGAAAAAAGACAAAAAAAAAAAAAAAAAAAAACTAGAGTTTTGAACCCTGTAACAAACTAAATTGTGAATTTTAATTTTGTCAATTTAAATCTTAAACTTTTGATTTGCTTTCAATTCAAACCATTTGCCAATTTTTGTTAAATAAAATAAATAAAAAATATATATTTTAGTCATTAAATTAAATAAAAATTATATTTTAGATATTTTCTATACACTTACATTGAATTTAATGACTAAATATAAATTTTTTTCATTTATTTTATTTAACAAAAATGGACAAATGATTTAGATTGAAAATAAATCAAAAGTTTAAAGTTTAAATTGATAAAATTAAAAAATTAGAATTTATTTTGTGACATTGTTCAAACCCTAGGTTTTTTATTTATTTTATTTATTTATTTATTTTTTGAGTGTGTGTGTAATTTTCCCAATAAAAAATAGAAGTTTATACAAATTTATATATAGAATAATATAACTTCTTTTGGTTATTTTATTTTCAATCAAAATATAATTTATCATTGTCTTCATAAAATCAAAAACGTCATTGACACTTCATTATAAATATTTTTTTCTGTTTAAATTTTTGGTTTGTAAACAATTTTTCTTTGATATAATTTTCTAAAAATAATATTGAGTAATGTTTGGTTTATTGGAATAAAAGCGAGGTGTAATATAATAATTATTAGGGAAAATTATAAATAAAAGAATACAAAGGTTTGACTTTATAATAAAATAAATTTTAAAATTTTAATTTTGTCAATTTGAACCCTAATCTGTTAATTTATTTTTAATCTAAACTATTTATCTATTTTCATGATGTAAAATTGACGAAAATAATATTATTTTAATTATTAAACTTAATAAAAATAGTATTTTAGATATTTTTTATGCACCCAAATTGAGTTTAACGATTAAAATCCGTTTTACTTAACAAAAATAGACATATGGTTTATATTAAAAACAAATAAAAAAATAGAATCTAAATTCACAAAATTAAAAATTTATATATTTTATAAAACGATGTTATCTATTTTGTAATAAACTAAATACTATCTTTAGTAAAACTAAAAATATTATAGTTGTGAAATTTAAATTTACTATAAAAATTATTATATTTGTGAAGCATAAATTTATTACAATAGTATTATGTGCATTTTTTTTCTAGGATATATATAAATCAGTGCTCAACGGTTTTGGAAGCCTGCATAGCCCAATGTTTTATATCTATACTATTATATTAAATGAAATTTAAATTTGATCTCTTAAAGTTTTTATCAAGTGTAAATTAAATAATAATAAATAAATAATTTTTTTTCTACACCTACACATGTTCTTCACAGCGGTTTAACTGCCATAATAATTTCAAATTTTAAAAATTAAATTTACAGAATTACTTTCAAATTTAAATAATAATATGTTACATGTGAACCCTTCTAGTCTATATGCTATAAGAAGCACTTCATTATAAAATGGGTTGCTTTTTTGTGTGCTGCTTTTATCTTTCTATTTGAGAAGTGGGTTAAAAGTCATTTCTCAACTTTTGCCTTACTTCTTTTGTTACAAAAAAATATTAAAAATTAAAAAAAAAAATTAAAAAGTCAATTTTTAACCATATTTACAAAACATCCGAACATTGTTTTTGCTATGATTAATGGTCTTCACTTTCGGCTAATGAATAGCCTGACAGTAGAACATCATTATTTTTGAGTAAAATTACCTATTTGTTCCATTTGCATTAACAATATTACCCTTATATGTTGGTAGGGCTTCTTGTAATTTCGTTTTTTTCAAGGTTTTTTTATACAATTTTGATAGCTTTAATTATTCAAATTTACTACCATAACCCTACAGTTACATGTTGTTGCTTTGTGCATTATGTGGTGGTATTCATAACTTGTGGTGATATTAAAAAAATAATTACATATATTTTTGGTTTAAAAACTATTAGAGATTTATAATTTAAGTATTATAATTTACTCATATTGATATGGTATTGTAGTTGGGTCATACATAATTGAGTTTGTAATTAATTAAAAATTAATACATATTTACCACGTCATTGTGGGACCTAAATTATGAGTCTTAATTTTTTTTCTCAAATCATCTGATCTTAAAAGTAATTCTAATGATGAAAGTTAAAATAATTTTGTCAAAACAAACAATTAGGATCTAATTATAGAGTTATACATATATGAATAAATTCATTTTTTAAAATAAATAATATGCTCCATGAATCTTATAATATAAACAATTCAATTTATTTAATCTTCTATTCCATTTACTTCCTGAAAGCAAATTTTTTTTATAATAATAATTTTAAATAATATTTAACTAATTGAAATGAAGGCTAAATACCATTGCATTGAATTGAAACAATTTTTTTATTTTTTTTTTACTTCTACCAAAAAATCAAATTAAAAGAAAAAAGAACTGTGCAAATTGGGGGTGATTCTATCTGCACCCAAATAGTAATTCTGTATGTCCAATTAAAATGTTGAAATTTGAGTTTCTATTATATGCTAATGTAAATTTATTAATAAGAATAATATATATTAAACCCTAAAATGATTTTTTTTTTTTTTCATGATACACCCTAATTATTTATATATGTTCTTCATATTTAATTTTCTTCATCTTTTTTCTCAAATTTCAATTGTTTTCTCTTCATCTTTTTCTTCACTCCTGAACTCTCTAATCCATCCTACCAAAATTCACAATTATTATTAAGATCATTATTTCTTATTGTGTTGTTACATGCAAATAATTTTTTTTTGAATAAAATCA